ACACACACACGAACACACACACACACACACACGTGTGCACACACCTGAACACACACACGTGTGCACACACCTGAACACACACACACGTGTGCACACACCTGAACACACACACCTGAACACACACACACGTGTGCACACACCTGAACACACACACGGGGGGTGACCTGGGCACTCAAGGGGGGTCAGGGAGGTGTTTTGGGGGTTGGTGGTCCCTGGGGGGGGTTTGGGGTGTTCCAGAAGGGTCGAGGGGTGTCCCCACGGGGTGTCCCGGGGGGTGACCCGGGGGTTTGGGGGGGCCGGGTGGGTACCCCGGGGGTTTTGGGGGTGTCCCGGGGGGGTGGCACTTACTGGGGTGACAGCCCACGCGGACACAGTCTGGGGAGAGAAGACACGGGTCAGGCCCTTGGCGGCCGCGCCGGGGGCGCCCCGGGGACGGGGGGGGCGGCCGGGGGGGCGAGGTGCCAGGGGGGGCACTGGGAGGGACTGGGGGGACTGGCGTGGGAGGGGGCTGAGAATGGAACTGGAATTGGACTGGGATGGCAAGTGGAGCGGGACCGATCCGGAACTGGGATGGAGACTGGGATGGGATGGGATGGAAATGGGGACGAGGATTGGGATGGAGACCGGGATTGGACTGGGATAGACTGGGATTGGGATGGATGGGACTGGGCTGGGATTAGGCCAGCAGCCAGTCTGGGGGAGACTGGGGAGTCTCTGGCACCTCGTGGGGGGTCACGGCCGCCCTGAGGGCCCAGCCCGGGGGATCCCGGGGGATCCCGGGGGGATCCGGGGGGATCCGGCACCCAGGGCTGGGCCCCCCCTCGTCAACCACTGCGGGGCGGGGGGGGCAAGCGCCGGGACCCAGGGGGTCCCCAATCCCATAGGGGGTGTCCCCAATTCCATGGGGGGGTCCCTAATCCCACAGGGGGACCCCAATCCCATGGGGGGTCCCCAATTCCATGGGGGAGGCACCGATCCCATGGGAGAGGCACCGATCCCATGGGGGGGTCCCCAATCCCATGGGGGTGTCCCTGATCCCATGGGGGGGTCCCCAATTCCATGAGGGGGTCCCTAATCCCACAGGGGGACCCCAATCCCATGGGGGGGTCCCCACCCCACAGAGGACCTGCAGCCCCCTGAGGGTCCCCCCCAATGGAAGGGGCTGAAGGGGGGATCCCCAGCCCTGGGGGGGTCCCCAATCTCCTGGGGGGACCCTCAACCCCTCGGGGGGTCCCGGCGCTGTGCCCCAAGTGGCAGCGGGGGGGTCACGAAGGCCCCAAACCCGGGGGGGGAGGGGACCCGACGGGACTCGACGGGGACGGGGGTGACGAGCCGGTTCCCCTGAGCCCTCCTCGGCCAGGTTGGGGGGCCCAGCTGTGATTCTGGGGGGCTCGGGCACCATTTCTGGGACCTGGGCACCGTTCGGGGGCCAAGAGCCACGTGAGCATCACCGGGGGAGGTTTTGGGGCCCCAGGCATCGACTTGACCGTTTTGGGACCACAAGAACCAACTCAGGCACCGTTTGGGAAGAATTTTTGGGACCTGGGCACCATTTTGGGGGGCCCAGACGTGAACTTGATCATTTGAGGGTCAGGAGAACTGATTCAGGGACCGTTTGGGGGGTTTGAACGTTGTTTTGGGGTCCCAGAAACATTCTGGGGATGTTTGGGGGTCCCAGCAACGAACTTGATGATTTTTGGGGGTCGTGAGAACTGACTCGGGCACCAAGTCCTGAACATCATTCTGGGATCCCAGGCAGCAGCTGGGCAATTTTGGGGTCCCAGGCATTATTCTGGGGTCCCAGGCACTATTTTGGGGTCCCAGGCATTCTTTTGGGGTCCCAGGCATCATTTTGGGGTCCCAGGCACTATTTTGGGGTCCCAGGCGCTATTTTGGCCGTTCCAGGGTGACGAGAACCGACTCGGCCCCGTTCGGGATAATTTCCGGGAGGGTTTCAGGGAGGGTTTTGGGGCCGGGCCGTCCTGAGGGGTTTGGGGGTCCCGGGGGGCTCACCCAGGTTGAGGGTGAGCTTCATGCGCCCTCCGTCCAGCTCGAGGCGCAGGGTGTCGGCCGAGTGGCGCGAGGTGGTGGCCAGGACGAGGCCGAAGGCGCGGGGGGACATGAAGCGCAGGGACACGTCCTCGGCCTCCGTCTGCTCCCCCGGCACCTGCACCTTCAGGTACATGCTGCCATCGTAGCTCAGCACCGCGGCCTCTGCGGGCACAGGGGGGACCCCTCAGCCCCGGCACGGGGACCCCTGGCACAGGGACCCCCATCACCCCCAGCACAGGGACCCCCGACACCCATCACCCCTAGTACAGGGACCCCTGGCATGGGGACCCCCAGCACAGGGACCCCCATCACCCCCAGCACAGGGACCCCCGACACCCATCACCCTCAGCACAGGGACCCCCATCACCCATCACCCCCAGCACAGGGACCCCCAACACCCATCACCCCTAGTACAGGGACCCCCGGTACAGGGACCCCCAGCATGGGGACCCCCAGCACAGGGACCCCCATCACCCCCAGCACAGGGACCCCTGGCACAAGGACCCCTGACCCCCATCACCCCCAGCACAGGGGACCCCCGACCCCCGGCACCCCCGGCACAGGGACCCCCAACACCCATCACCCCTAGTACAGGGACCCCCGGCACAGGGACCCCCAGCATGGGAACCCCCAGCACAGGGACCCCCGGCATGGGGACCCCCGGCACAGGGACCCCCGGCACAGGGACCCCCGGCACAGGGACCCCCCTCTCCAGGTGACCCAGGGGGTCCCCCCCGTGCTGCCATCACAGCTCAGCACTGTGGCCTCGGGGGGGGGCAAAGAGGGGGGACCCCGGCACTGGACACGTGGGGACCACCCCCCTGTGGGTACGCCCTGGGTCTGGGGACCCCCTGGGTCTGGGGACCCCCTCTCCAGGTGTCGGGGGGACCCGGGC